ATATTAAAAAAATGAAGGATGTAAATAATAAGTATCATAAAAATCAAACAATATAAATCCAAAACACCCAATTTTCTTAACTATTGTAGTATAATAAAGGTAAAATATACTTGTATAGCCAAAACTTTCGTGTTTGTGACAATAATAGCAAAATTTGGAGAAATACCACTTATAGCCACTTTCGTTCAATTCTTTAACGGTGTTAGCGTTAAGTCTGACCGGAAAAATGCAGATGCTGACGTGGCGAGCACTCCTAAGCAAAAACAAATAAATAAATAAGACAAAAAATATTCTCCCTCCCAACATATCCTCTCTTTTGATCATCCACACCCCTCCTCCCCACCTCCACCGACCACCGCCATCTCAGATCCTCTTCTTCAACTCTACTCCATATCCTTCATCGTCATCGATCAAAATTCAGCAATCCCCGCCTTCATTCCCTAAAACTCCTCCACCGCCATGCTCCTCGGCGGCGAAAACCCCAAATGAAGGATCCAAAGCCGACCACCGCCACCTCCTCCTTCCTCTAATCCTCGCCCACCACCGAAATCTATATGTCGTATCTCCATCTCCACCTCCTCGATTTTCATTTCGACTCCTCTCAATCGACTTCCACAGCTCACTTCGGTCACCAAAATTATCTCCTATTATCATTGATTCATGCATCATTAGGATTTGAATTCCATATTTGAGGAATTTCTTGTGGGTTGCTTGATTCTCTCGGCCAGACACTCGGAGGTATGCGCTGGATTTGAGGGTGGGCTCAATTTTCTTCCTTCTCAGATAATTGAAAAAAGAGAGGACATGTGAAGTAGATGCGGTGGAAGATGCGAGCCTCATCGGTGGAAGAGGAGGTGGAGATGGGTTTTTGAGTGGTGTTGAATTAGGGGGGATTCGGGTGGTGGAGAGGAAGCACCAGCCACTGTCCTTTGACAAATCGGGCGGAGAGCACGAGGAAGAAGACGAATCGATAAGGAGAAAGCTTTTACTACTCTCTAAAGAAGTGACAAGTTGATTTGAGGGTGAAGACTAAGGTTCTCGGTGGAGATTTTTGGATTGTTTTCTCTGGGTTTCTGGATTTTTGAGTTTTGGTCTCTGGATTTCTGTATTCTTGTTGAAGAGACGAGGATCACCTGCTGTTCCGTCCCCTCCGACATCATCAATTGCTTTCGATGGCGGTTCCACGAGTTTCATCTGAAGGAAGTGCCCTCTGTGAGTGGGTTTGAGAGCTTTAGATGGAATTGGGGATGACGTAGGTTGCGGATGGAATTGGGGATCTTGTTTTGTTTTACGTAGTGGAGAGTTTGTGAAGAAGACATATTTTGTTTTTTTTATTTTGTTTAAGAATTTATGTTAATTAAAAGGGTTAATACCTAATTTTGCTCCGAACTATGTGATTTTAGAAATTGCTATCTTGACCTCAACTATACACCATATAGACATAATTGGCCTAACACATAGTTTGGCCGTCAATTTATACAGTTAACACCGTTGACTAATGGTCAATGTCCCAACTCACTGCCATATTAGCACCCAAATTAAAATTTATCAAATAAGATAATAAATAATGGTAAAGAAAAAATCAAACTAAATTAAATTCCGACCGATGAACCCTAACCATTCTTCTTCCCCCTTCTTCCCCTCGCCAATTTTGTCGCCGTCATCGCTCCTCCGCCCCGCCACCTCGCCGCCACCTCCTAATCCCTCTCAGCTTTGACCGCGAGTATAGAAATTATTCCCGCGACTTACCAAACACCTACATTCACTTGGTTCACCTCAACGGTCAGCTCCCCGTCATCTTCCGCCTGACGATCGGGACCATCTCCACCCAGATCTAGTCATGTTTTACATCTACAAGCTGCTGCCAAGCCGGCCATCGGTGGTGGTGATTGTTGAAAACATGTGAGGATTTAGATGGGCTTTATCGAGATTCCGACAATGACCCATTTCTTTTCGTTATATTCCAACCTGGAATCCACCACCTTCTTCGGAACCCCATATTTGCCCAACAATCTCAAAACTATGGGCGGTTTTCAATAGGCAGAAGTAACAGAGGAAATGAAACAGGGGAGATAGATGGTTTTGATCCGGCAATCAGAACTAAGTGTGAAAACGGGAAGAAGAAGAAGAGAGGAAGAATAAGAGAATATGGAACTTTGTTGTCTCTTGGATTAGGGATTTGCCTCTCCCTGCTGTTATGTTTGTTTTGAAATAATAATGAAAATAATTTAAAGATAAATAACTTATTAATTTTATTAAATTCTTCAAATATTTAATTAATTTTTGATGTATATGTGGCATCCATGTAAGCAAAGTATGATGATTCATTAACGGTAAATGGTGTTGACCGTTTAATTTGACGGAAATTCACGAGTCAGACCAAATTAGTCTATTTGGTATATAGTTGAGGTCAGGATAGCAATTTCTAAAATTACTCGCCAAAGTCGACTATTTGGGTATAGTTCATGCCAATTTAAGGTATTAACTCTAATTAAAAATGATGTGGCATCCACCTGTCATCGAAGGCAGAGTTGTCAATGACATGTTCGTTGAGTTGGCAGCCTAGTAGGCATAACGTTAAAATAACAAACAGCGTCACTAACTCTATTAAAGTTTGTAACAAAAATGACTATATTTGTCATGGAACTTTTAAATTTCTCGGTATAAGTAGTATTTCTTCAAAGTTGGCTATTATTATCACAAACACAAAAGTTTTGACTATACAAATGTATTTTACCTATTATAAATGTATACTTCACAACATCAATTTATTTATCACCAAATCAAATTATATTTTTTCACCCTCTATCGTACAAACTACAAACACAAAAAGCAGTACTCGTAGGAGTCCCAACTGTACATGGGCGCTGGGCCGTGCTTGGGCCGGCACGACACGGGCACGCTTCGAGCCCATTTATTTCGTGTCGTGCTTGGCACAACACGTCAGTTTTCGTGCCGTGCCATGCAAGCCAATTTGTTAACTTTGCTAGGCCCAACCCAGTGCCGAGCACGGTTCCAATCGTGCCGTGCCTATTCGTGCTCGTGCCATGCTCGTATTCGTGTTTAATGAAACGAAAACAAAAGAGAGAATGAAAAAGAAGGTGAAAATTGGACGGAGGAAGATAGTATTAACCGATAATGTTTGAGAAAAGTAACAAATAAGGAGGTGGGGGGGGGAGAAGAAAATTGGAAGTATAGCGAGTGTAATTTGGCTTTGTTTAATTCTTTGTCCATTTTTACTTATGTTAGTAATTACGTATATATCTTTATGACACTTCTAACAACAACAAATAATTATTTTTCTACTTTTTTTTTATAATATTTGAACCTATAATTCTTTTTATATTTATTTTCTATCAAATAAATATTATTTTCGTGTCATGTCCGTTTTTATACTCAATAAAGTCTCGAAAATATTAGGCCCGACACGGGCCACTTATATACCGTGTCTTGCCCGTGCTCGTGCTTGTGCCCATGAAGTTTAGGCCCGGCACGACCCATAAATTATTTGTGCTCGTGCCGGGCTGGCCCATTTATTTCGTGCCCGTGCTCGTTAGGGATGACAATTTTGACTTGACCCGATTTACCGGACCTGTTTAACCTGTTTTGAGGCGGGTCAAACCCGCCCTGTAGGCGGGGCAGGGCGGGCATGGGTACCTCTCATCGACCCGACCTGCCCTGACCCGCCCCATTCTCGACCCGTTTTTGCCTAAATTACATATAATCTTTGTCAAATTACTTAGAATTTTCCTCTTATTATATTATATTTTAGCTATAATAAAGTTGCAACTAAGTGAAAACCTCAATTTCTTCAATAATTTAACTATATTTTATTAGGACTGTTAGCGGTGCGGTTAACCGCAGCCGACGAGTACCCAAAAACATCAACCGCCACCGATCGACTTATCGGTTAGCCGAAAACCGCCGTTGACGGTTTCGGGTCGGTATTGCGGTTACCTGAAGACCGACGGAGGGGATGGGTTGACGGGATGGCGGCAATTTCAGCTTCAGGGACGGCGGTGAGGATGTGTTGGGCGTGAGGTTGAGAGGCAAGGAAATTGATTCGGCAGAGTGATTCTGGTGTGTTTAGATTTTGAAATACGAAGAACTTGAAAGGGTTGCGGGGAGTTGGAGTATGGGGGATAGGAGTTTTGGCGAGGGGCGCCGGCAAGGTATATGGGAGGCGGCGACACCGAGAAAGAAGGCATAGCAGCGAGGATGGAACAGGGCGATGCAGGGGACGATGACGACGACCAAGGATCGACCTGCTGCGACTGCCGGCGACAGAGGATCGATCAAATCGACCTACTGCTACTGCCTCCTGGCCTTCGATCTGGAGGATGAAGAAGGGGCGGCGACTGAGATTGCTTTGACTCTTTCCAGTTCTCGTCGACCTCCGAGAATGAAGAAGGACGGGATGGCGACGACGACCGGCGATCGATCTTTACCACTGTAGCTACGCCTTCTCCTTCTTGGCCTTCGTTCGCTGGATTTCGATGGCGGACGGAGGGGTTGAGACTTGTAATCGGAGGGAGATTAGGGAAAAAAGAGCGACGGGACGGTTACTCGGTGCACCGAGTTTATCTCGGTTTCTCCACCTGCGGTTTTCGGTGAATAGAAATCTCCAAAACAGCACACCGACACCGCCACCGAAGGCAAGCTATCGGTTCGGGTCGGGTTTCGGTTTAGCCGAGAAACCGCCAACCGATTATCACCCCTAGATTTTATCATATTATGGTTCTTTCTTGGTCTTTTAATGAAAATAACAAATGTTTCTAATGTTTTTCACATAAATGACATACTCATTGGGTCGACCTGCCCCGATCCGCGCTCCATAATAAATTACCCGACCTGAACCCGACCTGTCCCATTGCCATTCCTAGTGCTCGTAGGCTCGTAGCATGCTCTAACCGTGCCGTGCTAGCCCGTGGACGACACGGCCCAGTGCCACGTACAGTCCCAACACAAATTCCACTCCCCCCCCCCCCCCCCCAATGGGTTGTGTTTGTACTTGTAAGTTTTAATAAGTCCCACCCTCCCTCCCCTTCCTTTGCCCATTTGTCACTTTCCCTCTCTTCCATTACCGTTTCTTCCTTCAAACTTCACCATTTCTTCACCTCTCCCCCTTCCCGTTTTTCTTTTTTCTGCAGTCAAGCCTTCAGTATTTCCCCACACTACTTTCCCTCCCGGTCTCTGGAAGGAAGGAACTCAGTGCGAGTGAGTGAGAGCGGTCTGTCTCGCCTCTCTGATTTCCCCCAAAGGCAGAGTTCCTATTCACCTCCGGAGGCCTAGATTTCTATTCACCAAAGGAAGAGACACAATGTCGGCTGTTAAAGATGAAGACCCTCGTATCGATGGCATCAAAACTAAAATTCGTGTCGTCCCCAATTTCCCTAAACCAGGTTTGAGCCAATGGGTTCGTTTTGTTTCTGTGTTTTCGTTCGAGTTCTGCGCATGGTGCTGTCTCTCTTCCGAATAAATTTATTTCTGGGTTCTCTTAAGTTTATGATGTCCCTCACCTATCCTGTTGAGCAACCGTGATTCCCTGCCTTTTCAGTGATTAAAGTTCGTCGCTCCCCTTTTTTCATATATTGTAGCATAACACCGTGGTGTCATTCTACTTTCTGGTGGACAGGTATTATGTTTCAGGATATAACAACTCTGCTTCTGGATCCAAAAGCTTTCAAGGATACAGTTGATTTGTTCGTCGAGCGTTACAAGGGCAAAAACATTTCGGTCGTTGCAGGTAATCTATTATCTATCCATCCAAATTAGCTGTTGAGTTTTGCCCTCGGTGTATCTTCTTTTCCACTAATGATTTGATCGTTGAAACTATTTATCCTTTTCGTTGTTTTTAAAATGTATTTTTCCATAACCTTTTACTTCTTTGTTCTTGAGTGGGTGATGATGGTGGTGGTGGCGGGACCCGGCTTTTTTTGCCTGCACGGCAGAAATTCGCCCACTGCTGCATAACCTTCTTCTCGAACTACCTTCTATGAGAGAAATTATGGCTGGCTGGCTGTATGGATTATTATCTATACATTATCTATCTTGTTCCCCTTCATTTGTTTATTGGGTTTTCTTTAGTTCCACTCTTGTATTCTACTGTTGTACTGATTTCTTGTTTGACTAACGTGTTGTGATAGCAAGTTCGCCATTGATTGCCACCTTCAGGTTTTTCGTTTTGTTCTGTTTATTTTTTTATAACACCCTTTGAGCTGCACCTCACTCTTTCGTTTCAAATCATTCAAGAATCTAGTTCGTGTCGAATAAGATCATTAGGCCTTTAGCTTCCTTCGTCCTTGCAAAGAAGAATGGTTGTTGCCTCGTTACAGCCTCGAATCTGAAACCCTGATTAAATTGGAAGAGCTTCATATACACATGCGTTGATTGATGGAGGCCCCTCTCCTTTGCCCCATATTTTGTGGCTATTTTGTTTTGTTTTGTTGTGAGCATGTGCTACAGTCTATAGATCTTATTTGGGTGGATGGTGGTTGGTGATGGACGCCAGTGCCACCCTTGTTTATAAAGGGGTAATGGTGGTGGACCCTTAATGATGCTTAGTTTCTGTTAAGCCCTTCCAAGTTTGTTTTTGGTACCTCATGTTGCTGGTGGTACTTATTTCTTCACCTTGGAACCGTTTGAGGAAAAGATGCATTATTCAATCAAGGTTTGGTAATTTAAGCCTGTCACATTGTTATTCTCTGTTTCAGCCTTTTGGCCTATGCCTTAGCTGGTTTCTTGGTACTTATTTTTGTTTCAGTTACAGCTTTTAGGAGATATGTCACCAGCATTATCTTGGTTCTTTTGTCTTAATGTGTGTTGCTTTTGATGCTTGTCTTCTTGTGTCTGTGTGATATGCAACTTTTTGATCATTGGGGAGAATCTTCTCTCCAAATAATAAGCTTCATATCATCAAAGAAAGTGTGCTTGATATTGATAAAGTAAGGCAGAAACTACAAACTATGTGAGCATGTTTTTGGTGCAGTGTCTACCAAGTTGAGTCTCTATCCACACCACCTCTAGCACTTGCATTTAGAATTTGAGCAGGAACAGTTAAAGCTCTTGTCAGGATCAAATCACTACAGCTGATATAAAGCACATCCGGTTACAAGACAAAATCTGTTATCTTTTAGGAACAAGTTGCAGTTTTCTGTCCTTGGAATGGTAATTTTGTGCAACTTTCTTCATTATACAAATGAATAATGCTTGCAGTAGAGCAGGTGTTTGTTTTACCACAGAGGTTTTGATTGTGTGCTGTATAACCCCGGATAGTTTGTATTAGTAAAGAATCCCTCCTACCACATCAAATTCGCCTTCAATGTTTCATATGCTTGCTTATTTGCCACTTGGTTGGAGTGAACATCTCTCCAAGAGTAATAATCAGTCATTTTATCTCATTAAGTTGTCATGGTTTTCTTACTTACAGGTATAGAGGCTCGAGGGTTTATTTTTGGACCTCCCATTGCATTGGCCATCGGTGCAAAGTTTGTTCCTTTAAGGAAGCCCAAAAAGCTTCCTGGTAATATAACTCATTTATAACTCAGTTTCATCACCAAGGTTCATCCCTTCTGTCTCTTATTTGTAACAAAGTCACCGCCCGAATGAATGAACAGGTGAAGTTATATCGGAGGAGTACACACTGGAATATGGAAGCGACCGCCTCGAGATGCACGTTGGAGCTGTTAATAAGGGCGAACGTGCCCTGGTGGTCGACGATCTGATTGCTACTGGTGGCACTCTTTGTGCAGCCATGAATTTACTCGGTAACTTCTACCACAAGTAGCTTCAGGGTTAAACATGCAAATGCTGGGCCACCAAATGAATGTTTCAGTTGTTGAAATGAGTAATAAGAGTTTTGTAAAAGCATGGAATCTGGTGAAATGGATTATAGCTGATTTTGCTTCTTTATCATCTCTTCTCCCACTCAGAACGAGCAGGAGCAGAAATTGTGGAGTGTGCCTGTCTTATCGAGTTGCCCGAGTTGAAGGTGAGTCATATGCTGCAATGCCATGGACACTCTTTGTCTGTGCTTACTTTCTCTGAAGCTGGGTGAGCTGAATAATTTTCGAATGGTTGCAGGGGCGGGATAGATTGCACGGGAAGCCATTGCATGTGCTTGTAGAGTATCACTAAAGGGTTCGGTTGCAGATTTTGGCTGAAGTGATTGTTGTATCACTACTTGATTAGTTGAATTTGGATTTTAAATTATTGTGGCTATTGCTGTAACTTATCAAAGCTAGTGAGCCTAGTATAACAGCAGACATTATTGATTTGAAGTATCAATATGAATATATTATGGTCTATGGAGACTAAGTATCCATCCATGACCATCTTTTCTCACTCACTTCATAGATAAAGTTTGTTTGATGTGAGCTAAATCATTGTGTACTCCTATCCATCAAGTCAAATAGGATGATTTAATAGAAAGGGATGAGTCATTTCGTAGCAATATACTGTTTGAATATGGCAACACTGAATTGTGGCTCTACTGATAATTGCAGGAAATGTACCTAATTGATTATTATGACTTGCAAACCAAACTATTTCTGTAGTCAAGGTTTATAATGGAGTTAGCGTCTTTTACGGTTCCTAATTGGAGGAATCTACAAGACAGTCGTTGGGAAGAAGATGATGACTTCATTCAGGGGTACTTGCTGAATTGAAAGACACCCTATGTCTCTATCAACTTCACAATTGGTGAGTTTCTGTTGGCATTTGTCAAGATTGACTTTTGCAGGCCGCTTGCATGGTCAGATCATAGGTTAAAGCCTTTTTAAGGCCCAAGTCTAGGGTTACGAGCCCAAAATTGGGCTATTGAAGGTCTGTAGTTGGCTCCTAATAATGGAAAGCAGCTTTACAGCTCTCGACTGTCGACTCTACAACTACAACGACGAAATTTTCCCCTACTAATCAATGAAGAGGGATTTCACAATGGTATAGTATTGGTGCTATAGGTTTTTACTTTTATGCATGGTAAAGGAAACCGTACCGGACATCATACCGGATTCCTTTCTGGTAGGGTATTTTGTGGTACGACCATGGTTCAACCATTTTGTACCGGTAAATATCGTTTTTAATAATAAAATATATTTTTTGTCAAAAAACCGTGCTGCCAAAATTAGGGTATCGTATCGGAGTAATACCGGATGTATCGGAATATACCGGATAATAAATGAATAAATAGAAGTAGTTAGCAAATTAATAGAAAAAGAAGAAATTTTAAACAAAATTTCCCACCTACCACTTGACCCTTTTGGCCTTTCCCCACCTACCAGCGCTAAACAAAATTTGCACTTGAAACAAACGTAAAAAGCCCAAACACAAGTCAACCAAGCCGAAACAAAGCACAACAGCAACCCTAGCCCAAAGGAAAAACACACACCACTACATCGCACCAATCATCCAAGACAGCCACCAGCCAAAACTGCCGCACCGCCACCTCAAAGCCATCGGAAAACCCCACCACTCAGACACCAACCAACCCCAATAATGGAAGAGAGAAAACATCGCCAACAACCACCACAACACCCACACAACTCCACCGCCCCGAAGATCCATGCCACCACAAGATGGCCGTGTGCTTTTTGCCGAGGCCACGCACGGGCAACCCATGAACTTCACACGGCCGTGCTAAGTGCAATTCTGGCCGTGTGATATTTGCCGAGGCCAAGCACGGGCAGGCTGGATTCCTCACACGGCCGTGCCACCCTGGCCGTGTGAGATGGCTGAAGGTCGACTAATTGATGCGCAGCGTTTTGACTCGCACGGGCAAAGTGGTGAGCCACACGGCCGTGTGGCCTGGCCGTGCGAGTCGGGAAATTCTGGTTTTAGAGCCTATTCCGAGCCAAAAGTGAGAGAATCGTATTTTCAGAGCAAAAACAGAGCCCTAGAGAGAGAAAGTGCGAAGAACACATCCTAGAAGCTATCTTGGAGCTGGGTTTCATCGAATCGAGCTTGGAGATCGTCATAGGAGTGGAAATCATCATCCCGGAGCAGATTTTCCTCATCATTATGAGTATGACCACTCCGATTACTGTTTTCTCTTCTCTCTCTATGGAGTAGAACCCTTCTCTCACTTGGGTATGAAGAACCCTAGTTCCTTGTGTTAGGGATTTGATTGTAATGACTTGGGATGATATTACTGTTTGATTCTAATCGAATGATGCATGTTTATTGAATTGATTTGAGTCTGATCAGCTTTTCTCAATTTCTGCTGCAACCTGAGATAGATAGAATCTGATTAGGTTGTTAGAGCTTCTTCATTCGATAGTAGGAGATTGGCTATACGAGAGTTAGCCAGTTTACTGCTTTGTACTGGAATTCAATTCCAGTAGTGGAGTTCTGTGCTTATTGCTTCAGCTTTCTATTCCGGTGAAGACTAGTCGTCTGCCGGGTAGTTAGACTGAGAGGGCTTGGTCAGCTTAAGAGATTCCAAGCTACTGTCGGATCTTCCGCAGTCTAATCAACAGTAAATCAACCCAGGGAATTACAATTGGACCTAACTAAGGGGCTAGGGGGACTCAATCCCGAGTGACTCTTTCCTGACTTTGAAAACCGAACCATTTACTGCTTTCTTACTGCTTTTGCTTTAATTAACAATCACTCCAATTAGTTTGCTAGATAATAGAGAATCACGGAGTAAGCAGTAGATCTAGACCCCGGGTTGATAATATAACTTGCCTGTTACTGCATTCCCGGACTGCGATTTCACTTGGTCGCAGTTTGGTGTTGTGTTTTGGTGTGTCAAGTTTTTGGCACCGTTGCCGGGGAACCCTCTAGGTTATTGGGGAAACGTGAGAATTTGTTACTCTAGCTTTTTATTTACTGCATTTTATCTCTTCCACCTGTGTGCCTTCACGGGTTGCTTCTGCTGATTGTGTGCAGGTAGTGCATGACCCGTAGCCAGTCGGGAGAACTACTACCATTAGACCAGGAGCTTGAACGAACTTGCAGGAACTTCAAGCGGGCTCTAAAGGCGCGACTGGCTGCGGAGGAGGCGCTAACACAGCTGCAGTTAGAAGAAGAGGAAGACGAGATGGCTGATCCAGAGAACCGTGATGTGATCCCGGAAGAGCAGACCATGGGATCCTACTGGACCGCTAGGGCTGCGGATATGAGGTCACCCATTCAACACCCTCATGTCCCAGCCAACAATTTTGAGGTGAGCACATCAGTGATCACCATGTTGCGCGGTTCAGTGGTGTTCCGTGGTAAGGAGGGAGAGTGCCCCCGATCACATCTCAGGCTATTCCACGAGCTCATCGATGGAATCAAGATCAATGGGGTACCAGCAGATGCCATCCAGCTGAGGTACTTCCCATTCACGCTGGAGGGGCAAGCCAAGGAGTGGCTAGACACTCGACCTACGGGCTCCATTACCACGTTCGCCAACCTGGCGGACAAGTTCCTCACCCGCTACCATCCTCCCTCCAAGACAGCTGACCTGTAGAAGCAAATTACCCATTTTGCTCAGGATGCGGATGAGACCATCAGAGATGCATGGGAGAGGTACAACAGTCTCTTCCTGAGGTGTCCAAATCATGGCTTCAATGATGCCTTCAAGGTGGGCACCTTCTATCACGCCCTCTTCCCGGAGGACAACTAGCTGATCGATTCGGTCTGTGGCGGGAACATGCTGACCAAAACCCCGCCACAACTGAATCAACTCTTTGAGGAGATGGCGGAGAACGGTTATGATTGGGGCACTGCCAGGAGGTCGAGGCGAGCACCCAGCCGAGGTGTACATTCTGTGGGAGCCCATCCCTCTGATTTGGTGTAGGTAGTATCGAAGCTGGTCTTAGCTATCGATCGTTCCGGGATGATTCCAGGGACCGGACAGCAGCCGGCGATGCTCTGCCACTGGTGCAAAAGCACCCATCACACGGTGGAAGATTGCCAGGCGATGAAGGAATCAACCACACCCCAGGAGCAGGTGAACTTCATCAATAATGTCAGGCGAAATGACCCCTACAGCAACGCGTACAATGAGGGGTGGCGCCAGCATCCTAACTTCTCCTGGGGTGGGGCAAATTCCAGACCACCAGTCCCCCAGGGACCGCCGGGTTTCCAGAGGCCACCATATCAGCCCAGACAGGGGCCATTCCAGCTGCAACAACAGTCTCTTTATCAGCCCATGCAGGGGCATGCTGCTCAATCACAGCCGCGACCTTTCCAGCAGCCAGGTGGAGCCCCTGCTGCCCCAGTGCAGAATGATCAGATGGCTGAACTGCGGGACTTGGTGGGTTCTCTCGCCAGTTCTAGTGCTCAGAAATTCAACACCATTGAGCAGTTCATGGAGAAGGCCTCGGGAAAATTCCTGGCTCTTGAAGCTGGTCAGAGGAACACACAGGCTGTCTTGTAGGATATCCAGACCCAGCTGGGGAGCGTGGCTCAGGCAGTGGCTCAAAGGGCTCTCGGTACTCTACCCGGGCAGACCATCCCTCATTCGCCGACACCGAATGAGCACTGCAATGCCATCATGACCAGGAGTGGCAAGATGACTGTTGATCCACCTGTTCGGGAACAGGAGAGAGAGACCCCTGCCTCGGCATCTCCAGCAGCTAAAGAAGAAGTAGAGAAGGAGGTTGAGGTGCCTGCACCTAAACCGCAACCAGTGGTGAAGGAGTATATCCCTAAACTCCCCTTCCTTACTCGGTTGCACAAAGACAGGTTGGAGGCAGAGTTCGAGAACTTCATGGCCATGCTTAGGAAGCTGAATGTCCAAGTGCCTTTCCTGGAGGCACTATCTCAAATGCCTAAGTATGCGAAGTTCCTGAAGGATCTTCTCTCAAAGAAGCAGAAGCTGAGCGAGCTGGCCACTGTGGAGCTCAGCGAGGAGTGCTCGGCCATTCTGCAGAACAAGCTTCCGCAGAAACAGAAGGACCCAGGTAGTTTTACTATCCCGTGCTCTATTGAGAATTTGCATGTAGAGAGGTCCTTGGCGGATTTAGGTGCTAGTATAAATGTTATGCCATATAAACTGTTTCAGAAACTAGGCCTAGGTGAACCCCGTGCTACTAGGATGAGCCTTCAATTAGCAGACCGATCTGTAGTGCATCCTAGGGGCATAGTGGAAGACCTTCTGGTTAAGGTTGGCACATCCAATTATCCTGTTGATTTTGTGATTTTGGACATAAATGAGGATGTGAATGTGCCATTGATACTGGGAAGGCCTTTACTGGCCACCGTCAAGGCCCTCATAGATGTGCATGATGGGACCTTAGTTTTGAGGGATGGCGAGGAGCGAATAACGTTTTCAGTTGCTAACACTATACCTGCTTCGTTACCTCTGCATGCTGTATCTCACCAGGAGCACGAGTCTGTCGTGTATCCTTCTGTGCTGCCTATTTTGCAGGACCCGCCTCCCACACCTTCGCTGCCACTCCTGAC